GAAACAGCATACCTATGTCTTGCTTTTTGACTCCATCAAGGCGAGGCAAAAATTATCATTTCAGGGCAATAACTCATATAAATAGTTGAATGAAGATTTTGGCATTATGGCTTATTTGTAGATCTTGTCTTGCTGATCATTTATGCTATTTAAAGTTTTTATCTATCTATTACAGTTTTCAAGATAATAGGTAATAAAAAAAGGGAAAAACATCATTAAAGGGCAATTACTTCAATAAGGAGTCGACTAATTTCAGTTATGTTGACTTATTTGTAGATCTTGTCTTGTTGATCATCTTTGCTTTTTTAATAGTTTTTAAGATATTAGGCAAAAACTGAAAAAATTGGTGAAAATCGTCATTAAAGGGCAATAACTCTAATAAGTAGTTGACAGAAGATTTCAGCTATGTTGACTTATTGGTAGATCTTGTTGTGCTGATCATTTTTGCTTTTCTAAAGATTCTATCTTTCTATAATAGTTTTTAAGATATTAGGCATAAATGCAAAAAATTGGTAAAAATTGTCATGAAAGGGAAATAATTCTAATAAGGAGTTGTATGACGATTTTGGTCATGTTTGACTTATTTGTAGATCTTGTCTTGCTGATTATTTTTGCTTTTTATAATTTTTCGAGATAATAGACAAAAAATTTTAATAAACTGTTGACACAGAAATATGTTTTGCCTGACGACAATCTGATGGACATTAACATTGCTAATTAATTCAAAGTCGTTGGACCATGAACTAGTGGACAGGGCCTCGCAATGGTCAACAAACTGAGATGTACGGACAGTAATGTAACATTAGAGCAAATATAATTTTCAATTGTAAGTAGTTCCTCTCAAACTAACTAAAGCAGAAAACTTTTAACATTGAAAATTGCTAATTAATTCAGAGTCACTGGACCATGACCTAGGGGGTAGGGCCTCAAAATAGTCATCAAACTGATTTGTACTGATAGTAATGCAACTTCATACAAAATATCTTAATCTGTCACAAGTAGTTCCTAACTAACTAACACACTAACTTAAGCACAATATTTTACAATTGTTGATGCCATCGTTATTGTCGCCGTCAAAGCAATCCCATGTCTTGTTTCCGCAACTTTCATCGCAGGTGAGACAAAAATGGCAAAATTTATCATTTAAGGGCAATAACTCTTATAAGACGTCATCTGACAGTTTTAACGTGAATTGACAAAGGTAGAGCTCAACATTCAGCACATTTTTGCCCCTGTCAGATTTTCTCAATTTTTAGAGGTTTTCAAAATAATAGGCAAAACTTGCATTTTATCCCTATGTTCTATTTTTAGCCATTTCAGCCAACTTGGTAGACAGGCAAGGTCATTGTACATATTTTTCAAACTAGATACCCTAATAATGATTGTGGCCACGTTTGGTTAAATATTGCCCTGTAGTTTCAGAGGAAAATTTTTTGTAAAAGTTAACGGACGATGACAGATGACAACGACGGATGATAAGTGATGAGAAAAGCTCACTTGACCTTTTGGCCAGGTGAGCTTAAAACAGGTAGACAGATTTCCTAAAATATTCAGGGAAGATAGAGTTTATTGTGATGAACACTTTTACCCAGTTAGTTTTTTTTCCAATTGCTTTAGTTTTCCAGAAATACCGGTAATCCAAAATTTGCAGTTTGATCCCAATGTTCTATTTTTAGCCACTTGAGCAATGTTGGTTGAATTTTGTCTTTATAGTGCTGTTACATAGCTGTTTCACTGAAATATAACCACATATCCCTTCATAGACATGAAATATGATGTTTTATTTGTTTCTGGTACTTACTGTACAATCTGTCATTAGTCTGTATCAGTAGATGTTTTACATATTTTTGGTGGCTTTTTGTATCTTCACCTTGTGTGATGATCTTTGGAAGATTAATGTCCCATTGGCATTTACATAAAATATGCTTAAATACAGTTCCTAATTATTTTGAAAATAAAAACTTCTGTTTCTGATACAGAGAAAGAGAAATATCTGAATACTTTTTTCCATACTTTAATTGTATATTAATAACTTAAACCTCAAACAATAATGGAACAAAACACACCAATATGATTTTTGCAATTTGTTTCCTACATTGGAAAAAAAAAGATGTACATTTTATTTTTGTAATATAACATAATATAAATTGCTCTAGGCTTAAAACTGTGTAAAATTAAAACTCTAAGACATATGGTTACAAGAGTCTACAAAGCGTACAATGCAAGGTTATCATTACACAATTATTCTAGAACTGAGCTTAACAATATATTTGGAATGTATTTGTATTACTATAGACCTAAAAATATTGACCTATATTTGGAACATACCTATAGTTATTTTTACATGAAGTACAAATCATAAATACATAACTGAATGTTCTTACTTTTACTAAAACAATCTTATTATGAAAGCAGTTTATATGTGCCACCCCTCTACTCTAATTTTACAGCCTAGAGTAAGGGGACGCCATATATAAACTGCTTACAATGTAAGATTGTGATAGTAATAGCAACAACAAAAAATAATAAAGGAAATTTAGCCGAAAAAAATTTCATTGAAAGTATCTAGCTAAATATAAACTGTAGATAATGCAAGGTAGTCCATGTCCCATTGAGCACCTTTGACTAGAATATATAAGATGTAAAACCCAAAAACAAATCCTTTATCAAATAACTGCAAACTAACTAAATCACAAATCCAAGAGGATTAGGGTTATATTGACTTAAAGAATGGATTGTTCTAACATATTATTTCAGAAAAGTTTTATAAAAACAGCTAGCTATTGAAAAGTTTTTGGCTCCCCAAAAAACTTCTAAATCTATGATTCTAAATAAAATATTTTTTTCCAATTTTGTGAGAGTTGCCATGGTATATAGCCTTCCTGCACTGATGTGGCAACTTGAAACAAACTTCATTTTTTCAATTCAACCATTTATATTTAGGTTTATATATATTTTTTACATGTATATTCCTTGACCTGCTTCATTGTAAGGTAATGTTGACTGAAATCAAATTCACAAATTAATTAACAAAATGCACACTATACACATGGAACAATAAGGATGTCATGCCATTTACCCAAAAGTTCAGTAGACCAATCAGAAATTAACAAAGACAAATCTTCAATAATATCTATATACTTTATCTAGTACAAACTACATTTTCAAAAAAGTAATGTTTTTTGTCAGTGATTACAAAAATTAAATATATCACAGTTTATTTTAAACATATAATCCAATTAAATTTAATCTGCTTTTAAATTACAATGTACTGTAAAATACATGGCAAGTCATTACAAAACAAAAATACATGGCAAGTCATTATACAAAACAAGAATATGTGTCCATAGGATATGGCCCGCTCAACTATAACATTTTAATGTTCAGTGATCCCTGAAATCAGGGTCAAAAGTGTAATTCAGCACATCATTTAAAAAGTTCACATCACAATAAACATGAAGACTTAGTTTCAAGATAAGGTAAGCACAACTTCATGTTAATCTACCTTAACCGAAATTTAATCCTGAAGTGGGACAGACTAATGGACAAATGGACAGACAGAAGGATACACAGACAGGAAAACATAAAGCCCCCCATTATGTAAGGGGGTAATGAAAAAACAAAAACACATATTTGTATTTTTTTTTTTAAATGTGGTTAAAAATTTCATGCATAATTTTGACATTTTACCTTAATATTTAAAACAAATATCCAGAAATATGTAGGCTGGTGTATTATTTGTAAACAGTTAAAAAGAGAAACAATTTGTAAAATTCACAAAATTAACATACCAAAGGTGTCTAAAATGCATTTCAAACTGTTTAATTTCACACATCAGATAAATGCTTTATGCAATGATACAGGTTTTTGATTTTTTAATGTATAGCTAAACAGTGTTTTCTTCCATTTGTTATAAATATCAACAAAATGAGAGAAGGAAAATTCCAGGTGTAGAAAGGAGTCACATTATGGACTGGTGGAAATGGCAGCCAAGAAGCTTCATTTTAAGAACGAAATACTAAAATGAAGCAGTACTATTGCACCCAACAAAAAAACTTGAAAAGTTGTGTTTTAGTGTTTCAAATAAAGCGACATAGGGCCTAATAATGCATTTTGTATCCTTTATTACTCACATATTTAGTTTCAGATGTATCTTCCACTAAAAGTGATATTACTCCACATTCTAAAAATCTAAATCTCATTTAGACATATAATTTTGAGAATATTACCCAACATGCATTAAATTCTGAAACCGAATTTAAAATATCACTGACCAAGTGATTAACCAACTATGATCTTTAAATCTGTTTTCAATAAAAACTGTACAAAAAATAAGTGGGTGAAACTTGTGCAAAGTCATCAATTTATAAGCTAAGAAAACAATGGCCTTAATACAACATGTTTGTTTCCTTAATACAACATGTTTATTTGATCTGAATTAGTTACATGTATCTAATAGGAAGATATAGAACAGTTAGAAGTTTAATTTTTGAACTGATAAGAATAAGATCACGGTAATAGGCTGAAGGAAAGACAGTGAGTGATTACAACAAATATTTTTAAGCTACTACACTTAATCATATTGCACACATAATGCAATAATTATATAGCACACATAATGCAATAATTATATAGCACACATAATGCAATAATTATATAGCACACATAATGCAATATGTCTTGTAGGATAGCACCAAATCACAAAGCCAATGTAATAGTATTAAAGCTTTATACCAGTCTTGCAAAACGCTATCACCAACTTCAGCAAACAAAAGTAACATGACAAAAGGATTCATTGTACAAAAAAAAAATATCTTATGATTGAAAAAAGTTAAGACAACAAATGGTCAAATACAAAATGAAAACACAAACATTTGAAAAATATTATGGATTATGTACAGCATTTGCAGAAAATAAATATTTTTTTTTAAATTGTATTTATATTAAAACTTAAAACTCTAGTATCGATTAACAAATAAATATTATAAGTATATATATTAAACATAAATTAAGGAAAATAATTCTACGCATTCAACAGCAAGATTTTAATAACTTCTATAACAAATGATATATTAAATAGTGAAAAAGTATTTCCAGAAGAGATTTAAAGAGAAAAAAAATAAAACAAATATTTAGTTCTCTTTCCTATAAAATTAATCATGGAATGATAAATATACATGATATGTTAAGTAGATTTATAGACAATCTATAGAAATTATAGTATAGATGGATCAGAAAACAAACATACTGTTACCATTAGAAATTCACTTTTTCATAAATATTCTTGAGCAAAAATAGTTTCAAATTTTTTTCACAAAGTTTTCAAGGCCTTAATTTATGATTACAGACTCACATTTGGTTTCTGCATAAATTACAGGCCATGTGTGTTGGTCCTTGACCAGTAATAAATTTAGGCAGTTTTATTTTTTGACAACCATTTATGTATTTTAAAGTCTTGATTTTACTTATTTACAGAAAAAGCTAGAATAATTACCTTATACCTGTCAGTAATTACATTATCAACAAATCTGAACAACAAGTTCTTCATAACAACAGTTTGTTCCTTTCTAAAAATTAGAACCACCTAAATTTTTAATATTCACTTTTCCACAAAAATATTGAAATTTAATTTATTATGCTTATGAAAAAAAGTTTAATTTCATTTAAAGTAAATTTTTTACACTAATTCCCAGTCTTCACTGATGGATAAATTTGATGATTTTCTGCCTTTTTGAGCATCCTGTGGCAATTCTTTGCGTAATAGATATCTTGTTTTTCTACAGAAAATCTGTCCTTCACGGCTTATTGCCCACAACTGGTCATTGACAGAACCTGAAATACAATGTATATGATGAAAAACTCAGCTTTTTGAAAACAAGTTTTCAATCACACTAAGGACTGTTTTTATTACAGAACGATGCGTCTATAATGTCATTTTATTCATCTAAATCAGAGATAAATCATAAAAGTTTTCATTTTTATCATCTACATCTACAGCACCGTCTTCTTACACCATTATGCTGCCGAAATTCTTTTGTGCAAAGAGGGCGGTTAGAAGTTAAAGTTTTGAACTGATAAGAATAAGATAACAGTAATAGGCTGAGGGAAAGACAGCAAGAGTAAGATTTCCAAATCGTGCTTCAGTTCTATCATGTTAATTGATCCCTATTTGGCAGGAATATTAATCATTTCATGAAAAAAAAATTCTAAGATTCCTCAAAATAATTAACATTTTTAAAAGTGAAGAATTTCTAAGTAAGACAACAGTAAATCAAATACTGTGGATTCATTTATCTTCATGGATACCAATTTTCGTGGATTGAACAAAAATTTGCATTTTTGTGGATATTTGATTTCATGGTTTTGCCAAGGTCTGCATACAAGCCTGTATAAAATTTGTCATTTGTTGATCGTGGTTCACCTGTACCCATGAATCCCGCAAAAAATTGGTATCCAACGAATAATAATGAAACCACAGTAAAGTGAAAATAAGTGACCAAGAAAAAAAAAAATTGTCCCCTGTCTTGCAACGATAATAGATTTATGTTGCTTTTATAAAAGCTTGGTTTAAATATGTAAATCTTCATAACCTCCTAATTTGGTGAATAAATATTTTTCTTCTATATGTACTTCTGACTGTGCAATACATTTAAAACATAAGACAATTGAATGTGGTACAGATATTTGTTTTGTTTTTATTATGTTAATGAAGTTCTGGGGGATATAGGAAATACTTTATCTGTCTGCAAGTTGTGTCCACTTCAGAACTTTTGCAACTGTCTCCAGTTTATAAATTATGCAAGTTTTTGCTAGTTGTATCCAGTTCAGAACTATTGAATGTCTTGAAGGATATATAATAAATACTTGGTATTATTGTTGACCACCTCAACTTTGGAAAAATCTTTATGGTTTTCTCTTGATTTTTTTGGTTTGTAACAAAGTATCTTTTTCAGATTTTGTAATAAAAGAATACTTGTTTGACTGTATGAGTAATCCAGTAATTTTGATGAAATTGACCTAAATTCACATACTGACATGTCAAGGCCTTTTATAGGTGACTATAAGGTACAGGTTTTATTCATTGTTTAAGGACTTATGGTGATCTATAGTTGCTTATATCCATACCATTTTGACTATGGTGGATAGTTCTTAAATTGGAAATCAAACCACATCTCCTTATTTCTGTATATATATTTACTATATGATAAACAAAAGAATTTGAAAAAGGAACAAGAAATAAATGCCTTTTTAGATTTTATCTTAGATATGTCAATTAGTTGTTATATCCCTGGCAAACAAAATTCACTTTGTCTGTCTGTCTGTCTGTCTGTCTGTCTGTCTGTCTGTCTGGTCTGTCCTGTCTGGTCTGTCTGTCTGTCTGGTCTGTCTGGTCCGTCTGGTCTGTCCTGTCTGGTCTGTCTGTCTGTCTGTCTGTGCAAGTTGTGTCATCTTCAGAAGTTTTGAATGCCTATTAAGTATATATACTAATGATACTAATATTGGTATTACTACTACACAACACCAGGAGGTGTGTCACAAATATGGTTGGATTGTCTGTTTGTAAGGGTTAGGTAACAAACTTAGTTCAACTTAACATATAAAAGTTGTGTTTGACTCTTGATTACCTTGAAGCAAGGATACAAATGATGCTTGATATTGCTGAACACCACTAGCTGCATGTTATGCATAATGTTGCAATGTTTGTCTGAAAGGTCAAGGTCAAATCAAAGTATATCAAAACAAGAATGTGTCCATAGTACACGGATGCCCCACTCGCACTATCATTTTCTATGTTCAGTGGACCGTGAAATTGGGGTCAAAACTCTAATTTGACATTAAAATTAGAAAGATCATATCATAGGGAACATCTGTACTAAGTTTCAAGTTGATTGGACTTCAACTTCATCAAAATCTACCTTGACCAAAAACTTTAACCTGAAGCGGGACAGACGGACGAATGGAGGAACGAACGAACAGATGCACAGACCAAAAAACATAATGCCCCTCTACTATCGTAGGTGGGGCATAATAAATACAAGGGGTATCTTTTTGTGAGCTTTACTCACAGTACCTGTAGTTTGCCTTGTTTTGATTTTCTGTATTCTTAACTTATGACCAGATAAGGATAATTTTTTATAGATATCTGACACAGTCACATTAGATATGAACAAATATTCATTATTAGGAAGTAATGTTTTATATCGATAAAGGAAGTAATTATATGAGATCTTGACAAATATTTCTTTTTAGAAATATGTTTCATCTTGATATATGATGGATCTACAGGAAATTTGGGCAAATATTCACTACTGTGGATTCATTATTTTTCGTTGAATACCAATTTACATGGATTTTGTGGGTACAGGAAACCACGAAATTACATGTTCAACGAATGACAATTTTTCTTTAGATTTTTATGCAGACTTCGGCAAAACCACGAAGTTAAATATCAACGAAAACGTAAGTTTTCTTGAATCCACGAAAATTGGTACCCACGAAAATAAATGAATCCACAGTATAATAAATATTTGTAAGCTTGATATATGAGGTACTTACATGAGATATGGACAAATATTCCTGGAATCTTTCTCCAGTAGTCTCCACCTGGATTATCTTTAGTTATATTATGACGACAAAGAACTTCTCCATTTGGGTCCAAGGCCCACAGAAATGTATTACTAAGAGCAAGCTCTTGTGCTTGAATGCCTGAAAATTAGTTATACATAAAATATAAGCATGCAACAAAAACAGAATAATCTAAAATTCAATACGATCAAGAACTAAATAAAATGTGTACAATTCACTAAGTTAATCTTCTATTAATAACAGTAGCAGGACACCAAATTGAATGAATGAAGAATACAAATGGACTTAAAATTGTACACCTATGAGACATAAATCTCATTCAATCCTTTAATTGACCATGTATCAAAGGCAAAATTTTATCATTTTCTTCTGGATATTATGTTTATGCAACGTCAATATAATGTTTTATGTACTTCTTTTTAAGCACACCAGAAATACTTCTTAATAAAAACACCAAATCAGACAACTTTGAGCAATGTATATTCCAAAATCTCTTAATCATGGCTGTAAAGCAGAGCCATGTCATTTTCTGTTTGAAACTGAAAGAAATGGAAGCTAATGCAACAACAATATCAATGCTTATAAGTACTCCATCATATACACATCTAATCAGATAACTTAAAATTTGAATGCTGTAAAATTCAAAATCTCTGAAGCAGGACTCAAGGACACAGCTTCATATTTCCTTGCCACTCTAGGCACATAAATCTTACAGATAATAGATCATTAAAGTTTCATTTAAATTATTATAAATTTTCCTCTTTAAGATTTTTTGTAAAAAGAGCCTCTTGAAACTGAACCTAAAGGATTCTAGTATTTTAAGATACCAAAAAAAACCAACAATGGTCCAGCATAAGTCCTTTTGTATAAATACATCTAACCAGAAAAATTTAATCATTTAAATAATGTAAAAATTAGTCACTTATATAGAGCATCATATTTTCAGCACCACTGAAGTGTATGAATGCTAATGAATCAGCAAGCCATATATCAATGGAATATATAGAAAATGATATCTATATATATAAATCATGGTTGCAAAGGTTTTATCAAACCTCTAATCAGTTTGACGTCACATAATTGATATCAGTCTCGGTTACAAAGGTTTTATCAAACCTCTAATCAGTTTGACGTCACATAATTGATATCAGTTACGGTTACAAAGGTTTTATCAAACCTCTAATCAGTTTGACGTCACATAATTGATATCAGTTACGGTTGCAAAGGTTTTATCAAACCTCTAATCAGTTTGACGTCACATAATTGCTATCAGTCTGGTTTACAAAGGTTTTATCAAACCCCTATTATGTATTACATCTTGTCTTGTGAAAAACATCTAAATTATTGCTATTGAGGTACATGTATATAATAAATTGTATATGATATGGGTTTTTCAGTATCACACACTGTATCAACCCTCAACCAATATAATCCAGCAGAGCTCTTGGGATTATATTAGTGTCTTGGGTTGATACAGGTGTGGTATTGAAAAATTCATATGATATTCTCTATATAATATGCATGCAATTAAGATACCAGTAATAACAATACATAATAAAAAATATAACAGGAATTACCAATAATATTGGACATTACAGCAGTCCACACCTAGCACCAACATTATGCATGGATATTGATACAACTATATATTCAAATATCAATAATGAATGATAAGTACTTATTTTAAAATTGACCAAATAAGAAAACTTAACATTTGGTGTTTGATGCCACCATCACATGCATTGCAGGCGAGCCAAAAACAAACCAAATAACATTTTAGATTTGTCATTAAAAATTCATTCCAAAGTATTTAAACTTCATTTACTCTAAATTGAACCAATTAGGGATAACTGTATTGTATTTAAGGTTGGCCTAAGTAAAATGTAGGTTTTACTGTCACAAATTGAGTTTACCTAGCAACACATAGCAGAGCTAGGTAAAAGGATATTTGAAATATTGAGACAGTAAAACTAATGTTTTAAGTAGGCCAGATAATTATCTGAGAACTTATCTTCATTCTAATGCTGAATCATTCTATTTTAATTATTATTTTTGTCGAGCCTTCAACTTTTGTCGAAAAAGCGATATAGCGATCCTACATTCCGTCGGCGTCGACGGCGGCGGCGGTGTCCACAAATATTCACTCCGTGGTTAAAGTTTTTGAAATTTTAATAACTTTCTTCAATTTTCCTGGATGTCTACCAAACTTGGACAGAAGTTTGTTTATGATCATAAGATAATATTCAAAAGTAAATTTTGTAAAAAAAAAATTCCATTTTTTCCGTATTTTACTTATAAATGGACTTAGTTTTTCTGCCAGGAAACATTACATTCACTCTGTGGTTAAAGTTTTTGAAATTTTAATAACTTTCTTAAACTATCCTGGATTTCTACCAAACTTGGAAAGAAGCTTGTTTATGATCATAAGATAGTATCCAGAAGTAAATTTTGTAAAAAAAAAATTCCATTTTTTCCGTATTTTACTTATAAATGGACTTAGTTTTTCTGCCAGTTAACATTACATTCACTCTGTGGTTAAAGTTTTTAAAATTTTAACAACTTTCTTAAATTATCCTGGATTTGTATCAAACTTGGACAGAAGCTTGTTTATGATTTAAAGCTAGTATCTAGAAGGAAATTTTGTTAAAATTTTGTTCCATTTTTTCCGTATTTTACTTATAAATGGACTTAGTTTTTCTTCCAGTTAACATTACATACAGTCTGCAGTTTAAATTTTTAAAACATTTATTAGATTCATAAACTATCCTGGATTTTTACCAAACTTGGACAGAAGCTACTTACTATCAAAAGATAGTATAGAGAGGAATATTTTTATTAATTTTTTTCCTCATTTTTGTTGAGCCTGTGATTAACAGCAAAAGTAGGCGAGACACTGGGTTCCGCGGAACCCTTACGAATTTTTGCATAAAATTGTCATAAATAAAAAATTCTGCAAAAGTTTGTTCTCGTCTTTAGCACCCTTACAGCATGGTTACATATTAGTAAACTGTGGAATTTACCCCCTCAAAATAAATGCCAAAAACCAATAAAATTCAAGATTACAAACATATTGTATTAGAAAGCAATTTTTTTGTTTAGTAGATATGAGCCTACATATTATACAGTCATGGACGATAAATTCATAATGTGTGATCTAGAATCAAGCAGTAAGGAATTAGGTTATGACCAGGACATAATTTTAAACAGATGAACATATTCTATATTGTTTCTTATTTACAGCAATAATTCTCCATTGCACAATGAACTTACCAGGGATGTGAATCCATGCTGTTCCTATAGGCATGTCATCTGTAATTCCAATCCTGACATAAGTCTGCCTTCTATTATCTATAGCCCACACCTGTCAATCATAGATATATAAAACTACATCAAGTTTTAAGTTATATATGAGATTTAGTAAGGACAACAGAATCAGACAAGGGTTATAAATATAGAATTTTTGTCTTGTTTTTTTATGATTTATACCAATTGAACAATTCCTTTAAATATGGACAGAAGTAAGACTTTTATAAAATAAAGTTCATCAATTACAGTCAATGGCATACAATAATTCACACAAATATGCATGTTCAATTATCTCCCATTCAAAATATTGATTTTTCATACATTTGAAAACTCCCCTTAAAGTTGTCGGACCTTATCTATTTTGCCTTTTTTATATCTTGATATGCTGAATTAACTTAAATGAAGTTTTATTTAAATTGATCAGACATGTAAAGTTGTGCTTACAAAATCAAAATCAAATGTGCCATTTTATTTTCTCTTCAACACGTTCAATCACAATGTTCCTGCAATCTTTGTATGGCTTACTACCAGTATAACTGTCTGAAGTTTCAATTAAATCTACTGAGGCAGTTTTGGAGTCAAAGACATATTTACCTTTAAAAATAATCAGATTTTGGTCCTGGATGTTCAGTGGAAAGTTGTATTGCCAAAATCTTTTTTCTTAGTTTTAAGTTTTGTTTGTTTTATATTTTATTTCCTGAGTTGTCAATTCACATGTACTGTTTGCTTTTGATTGTTTCATAAATACATTGTCCTTAAGATTCCAATGTCTGATCTCCCTTTTGGTGCTAACGATTTGTTATCTTCTGCTTATTATTATTTCAAATTGCAGGGGTTGAAAATAGCACTAGCCCTAGACCTGAGCTTGGAGATATTTTTTTTACCCAAAAGCTGCCTGATTGAATAGCATAGTATAAATCTTGTCCAGTAAAATTGTGTTTAACATGAAATTTCCCATCATAAATATATCTATTTATATATTAGCAACCAATCAGAACTTAAACCAAACTGAAAGGATTGCTGGTTATCATTCAGATGTAAGACTTTGTGTTACTTTTGAACTATGAACTATTAATACTTTAGACAAACCAATACTAATGCAGATAATTATGGTGGTTAATATATTTAATGTCAAACACTAATTTGACATGCACATTTGAGGATTGTTCAAGACTAGTGTTGGTACTTGTGCTTATTGAAGTTAATTTTGGGTTATTATGTCAGAAAACATAGGCTTTTCTATTGGAAATCAAATTACAATTAAGAAATACAAGATTATGTACATAAAGGTCTGAAGGTCCAGTGAAGACTTGTATAAATGTAGTCCCTGATGGTCCAGAGTCTACTGGTAACCAGGCAGCCTGTAAAGAATGAGTTGAAGGTGCCTTTACTCCTATTCTTTGGTATACTACACCATCACTGTCAATAGCCCAGACATTCCTAGACCCACAAGACAGATGGATTAAATGGGCATCACCTGTATAATAAAAAAAATCAACATTTGTCATAATTCATTATATAAACAATCTTTCAATTATACAAATACATGTTTTAGGAAAATCTCTCCCAAATACAATAGCTTTTCTACCTTTTGCTTACTAACAAGCTTTTAACTCATTAAAAAACAGCCAATGAATTTTGACCATTACTTGTCCCTGTTGAGCATGTTGTATAAATTCATATTTTGATAGTAGTTCATTCTGTAGTTTTTAGTAATGAGTGTTTGCCCTAGTGCTTCAATTTCTGCATTGGAAATAACAAAATTTTGAATATGAATACACATTAGATTGATTGATTGTTAATTGCATAAAGTATACAAAATAAAGAAAACTAAAAGAAGTTTTCTATTGAATATGATTTGATTCCTTTTTCATGGTTTCCTCTAAAACTAAGTTTTTGCTTCTTCTGTATAATGAAATCTGCTTACATAAACAAATCCTGCACAATACAATAAAGCAGTAATAGTGCAGTTCATTGAGAAACCTATAAAGCCAATGCATATTGCAAAGACAACAGCAAATCTCAAGACAATGCTTATGAAGTGTGGAAATGTTTTTAAAAATGTATGAATGACGTTGCAGAATATATTTTCAAATATTGAAATATAAAACATGCCTTTTAATGGCCCAAAGTACTGTAAAAAAAGTTGAATATTTGTTTGGTATTTGATTTCATGACTTTGCTAAAACCAACAAGATGTACTGTAAGCCATATATTTCCTAATGATACCCCTGCAATTAGTATTCAGTAAACAGGAAGTTAATGAGCAATCAATGTGATATACATCACACTGTATAGCATGATCAAATGAAGCTTGCCATTCAATTTAAGGAAGCTTCAATCATTGATTCACGAGAAAAATGCAAAAAAATAATAATGGGATCAAGGTACAAATGGACAGATATCGATGGACATAGGTAAAGTAGTATATTCTTCCCATTTGAAGCCTGGGTATAACTAAATACTCATATTAGTATTTAAACAAATCTGAATCAGTTGGATAACTGTTGAGATGATAATAATAGAAAATTACCCCCTGAAGCAATTAAGGTCACAAAATTAATGTTTAATTTAATAACCATACTGATCAATGCTGATTGAAAGTTTTTTCAAAACTACAATCATACATTATTTTTTAAATTGTCTGTCAAACTATTTTTCTTGAATTATAAATGCAAAAGCATATTGCGTTATTTAATGATTTGTCGAGGAAATTGCTTTAGAATCATGTTACTTTGATATTTTTAAAAAGATGTTAGTCTTTGATGCGTAGTGATTAACAAATTTGGAAAAAATTATGTACATACAAAATCTAAATTTCTTTCTATTCACGAGTTTTCAGTGATCCTCATAGCACTACAATTTTCTGAAATCTACCTATATGCAGCAAATATTTTTTTATGTGAATATAATGATTAAAAAGTTCTGTCATTAAGGTTGAAAATGAGAGAATTTTTTTTACAAAAATAGTTACCTGTTAATAGATTTTATTTCTTTTCTTTTTCAATTAATAGATAAGGTCTTATTTATTTTTACACAATTATGTGTAGTCTTCTGATCTATTCAATTAAATGCTTGTGTCCAAGTCAGGTCCATTTAAAATAGCCAAATGACCTTAATTCAAAAGTGTTAATCTTTGCTGGATATCAATCGATTTTTTGTTTGTTTATCTTCTGATCAAACTCAAAACATATATGGCATGTTCCTGTGATGTATACAGCCGATAAAAAAAAACAAATTAAGTTTGGTAATTATTCCACAGCAACATTTTTGACTCAAAACTTTTAAAGCCTGCTATTATCACCATTTGCTTTACTTAGAGGAAAATAATATCAGTATGTGATAACTCTGTTTTTGTTGCAATTTTTTTTCATTAATACTACATAACAGAATGATTTTTTGCAAACTATTAACAAAAGCATTCCTGGGGAGAATGTTCCAATCATTGAAGAGTTTCAATTGCAAGGGTGAAGATTTTTGTCACTAGATTTCCAATGCAATATGTGAACTTGTAAAATCAGTGTGAAAATTGGAATCAACATATAAAACTATTTGTACATTATTGAAAACTTTAATTGTTGGTATATATTATCATAACAGATATAAAATTCATACCTAATTGTTTCAGATCCAGGTCACACCACTTGGCACCCTCGGGACAATGATCTGCAATGCCACTACGTATGTACACCTTTCCATCCTCATTCAGGCCCCATACAGCCTCCTCACATACACTCATACACACAAACTGTCCTTTTGGGGGTCTCTCCTCTGTCCTAATTTTCTTTTTGGTTGGAGTGAATGTAAATATTTCACCATTTGGTTGCTGAGCCCAAATTAAACCTTAAAAGACAAAAGGGCATCTTGTTCATCTTTAAATCTTTTGTTCTAAATTGTGTGGCTTTCAGTTATGATTTATTGCAATAATAATATAGTATGTTTTTATATTGACCCTGTATAATAACAGATTGTAATATCAAGCCCAAAAGAATAGTTTAGAAACTATAGCAGCATTAAAATCTCTTTATTATATATTTCTATACATGTACCATTACTTTATTTGTTTCCCTTATTCCTGTTGAAACTTTTTGGTTTGTGTATAATATATTCTGTAATAACTGGTTTTATTACATTGGTTGCAATGAATTACCCTGATTTCCCAGTGAAATAAAAACCAATAATTTACATGTGAAATAAATCACATAGAAAAATATATAGTTCCTTCCATTTTCTTCTTTATTTCCATTTAAAAGTCCATGAAAATGTAATAAAAAGTACATTTATTCCAAGAATTAAAATATAGAAAAGTATTCAAGTCATGACCAAACAACATTGATAGTTAACTCATGCCCTACATGAATTCGTCAATTATTGTGTAGTTTGGTCACTCGTTGAATATTTTTCTACATTTTAATTCTTGGATTAGTTGTTCTATAATTCAAACTTTAAGGGAAGTGGTTATTGCAATAGGAAATTATTTTAAAAAAAATACTAGTACATTGTAGTTAAAATACAAACATTAAACACATTCTGTCTGATTGAATCCAGCTTTCTTAAATTAGTTATATTAAAAAAATATACAGTTTTGAACCAAGTTTATTCTATAGATTTTATCAAGTTTTCTGAACACAAAAATTAACCAAATATAGGTACAAATAGAAAATACTTGAAATTTTCAAAATCGCCAGTGAATGAATCTACAACATCAAGGCAGTATAAATTTTGAATCACATTTGATTTTTTTTTCATATATAGATATTTTTTATTTACACTAATTTTGAAAATGAGCTAATAAGTTGACCCAGTTGTTTACTTCCTGATCCTTTGGTCTTTGGTGGATAATTGTCTTATTAGCAATGATTCATCATCTCCTTATTTTTATAAAGATGTAGTTTAGCATCTATATAAAGTATATATTGTTCTTTACCATTAGTAGAACTCCTGTTTGGATTACCTCTGCACTAAATGTTCCAGCATATTAAATCTATATGATAGTGATGTTGCCAATATAAACCCAATTCCTTTCACAAACAATCTTGATGAATTGATAAAATATGTTGATACAAATGTTGCTGTGTATTATATTTTTTCCACTGCCTCTAAGACAATTATTAAATAGTCTTTCCTGTCATATATACTTACCCCACTCTAAATGAATGGCTGCCACTGAAATCAATTTCCAAGCTGTAGAAGCAACAATGCCAGTCAGAAAAACACCATCCCAACAGTGACCTTAAACAGAAAAATACTATGCTGTTAGGATGTATGGTATTCATAAATCATATACTGTGTGGTACACATGAAATTTTGAAGTAATCAAGGTCTGTAACTATGCTAAACTGGTCATTACAAATATTTGGATTGCCAAAACAGGCATGGCAGGAAGCATTTTAGTCTGGTGTTGCAATTTTTGGGACACAAAAGGACAAAACAAAAACAATTTGTTTGACAAAGAAGCATGGGATAATACAGATCGACAGACCACAAATTTTAGTTTTCAATTTGAAAAAAAACCAAACAACTTTAATTTTCAAGGTTATTTTTTTTAAATTACAAAGTAAAGGAGTATAATGCACAAGAAGCTTTTGAGAACTTTCTTTGCACATAATGTACGGAAATGCAAAAGATCAAGTAATATGAATGAATTACACAAGATTTTTTATGTTATGACGTCACAATTATATCATAAGATGTGTTTTTTTCTTGAAAATACATTATGTAAAGAAAATTATTGATTTTATGGAGTTTTCCACTTATATCATTTGAGGAAACATAAGACCTTTACGCTATTTGGATATCTGTGACACTTAAACTATTAATGTCATACATCAATCACTTTTCCTTTGTGGTGTTATACATTTTCTATTGTGACGTCAAAATTTAATGGAACCTTTGTGATGTCCAGAAATGGCAGAAATAGCGATAACATGTGTTGGCGCACCAAGTAACAACAAAATAATTTTAGAGAAGCTTGTTATAGCTATTTACATCATTTCACTAAATATAAAGTTGTTTCTTGGGTGCAAAAATACTTTTCCAAACCAAATTATACTTACACATTGATGTTAAACAAGGAAAATCAAGAAATTTTACAAAGTAAACAAATGTTGTCATGGTTTGTTGCCATTGTAATTCATCAAATTGTGAAATTTGTTTTATTTTCTATACATTGTTTACCTAAGTATTGTTAGGATAAATTTAAGATCATTTATGGTTACTTATAAATTTGTGCTAATATTACGACCAAATAAGGGCTTTATTGACCCTACTCCTTTGCTGAGAGTTTGGACAACACAAAGATATTTGAAAATTGATAGAAATTTTAATCATTTAATGTTTATTTAAATCTTTGCATTATATTTACTTTCTTTCATCATTTCAAAGCATGACAATATTTTTTAATAACTTGATTAAAGTACATATCATACATAATTTAACAAATTTAAAACATTGATCTTATCATGAAGCACATAATTTTTTAAGTGCAATTCACCAAATATTAAGTATTTCAATATATTTTTAACTGAAACTAGAGTCAATGAATGAATCATTTCAATAACAGTTTTATTTTTTTTTAAATAGCAATATGTGAATTAAAATTTATCATGAAATCTCAGAGTATACAAAAATTTATCAACTTCCAATTCATAAATCCCCAACAGAGCTATTTTCACAATCCTGTCAAACATACTGTTATTGGGAATATAGCTTACCTTCCATTGATCCTCTGCATAGCTGTAATGTATATTTACAATCAGGACAAACCCAGACGCCTTCTGTCCCTGCTGCTATCAGTCCACCCCTTTGGGTACCAATTAAATCTGCCAGCTTTTGAGGATCAAATACTTTGGCTAGTGACTTGATGCCATCAATTAAAGTGTAATCAGTAGTAGTTATTTCATTATTAATAGGTACCTGTAAAGCAACAAAACTACTTATTTATGAAGTTAAAAACTATACTTTCAATTCTATAACACTTACAGCTGCTGTGAGGCTGATTGGTAATTCTATTTGTCCCACAAGTCTGTTTCTTTGAAGGTGCATGATGCAGGCATTGTTAGGACTGATGTATCTACGCTGTAGTTGTCATCCCTCCCAGGAATTGATTGGCTAAATTTTAGATACAAATTTACACTGCATTCACAAAACAATATATTAATTTTACTTAGTAAGATGTATAATATAACTTCTGACAAATTCTAAGGAAATGTTTTGAATACATTTTCACCTAATTGTAATATCAAATTATAAAACAAATAAAGTATAAATCACCTGCCACCAACAGTTATCTCCTAATGGTGTTTCCATGGAAACATTTGTCATGAAATAAATTCTCCCTAGAACATCAACAGCCCAAGCCAAATTACCATCTCCAAATGAAACAGAGGAAAACATCATACCATCTGCACTGAAATAATATGATATAAACTTAAGGTAAACCTAAATCTAATTCTTTTGAAATTTACTAAGACGAAAAAAAGTAAATGATCATATATTAACTGAAACAAATAAATGCAAATGTTCTAAAACTTGATAAAATAGAAATTAAATCTTATGTAGCACTTTTTGAAAAAAAAAGGGCTCAAGTTACCTGACTTTTTATGAAATAAGTTAAAAATGGTATTTCTTAGGAACTTAGGATTTGTCAACAAAAATGTGTGTTAGGTTCGGTAGAAAGTACATCCACTCATTCTATGCAAGATTTGAGTTTTGGTGACTCCTATCACATTCATGAATCTAAATTCTTCATCGAGACATTTTATACAATCACATGTACAGTTGAACCTTGTTGTGTTTAAAACCTGGATAAGTGGAAGGATTTTGTCAGTCCCCATAAAATTCCTGTTTGTTCAATGCATTTCTAACTCTAGACTTATCAAGATTCTACTGCATATTAAAATTTCATGACAAATCCTCCTTTAAATCTTTTTAAAAAAAAAATCCTCATTTGGGCATCTGGATTCACCACTTGGCTAGGACATCAGTAGTTAATCAGATCTTTAAACATTGAAGTTGTACTTTTTGGGAAAATGAAAGCATAAATTTTTTGTTAACCAAAAAATTGGTTTATTATGTTAATTCCAGTATGGACAGATTTCACAGTAACAAAATAGAAAACAATGCATGGGATTGTATTATGCAGCACCATAAATAGTACCTTCATTGAAACTTATGCCTCTAAATTTCATTGATGAGATATCCTGTAAAAAAATGATTTAATTGTCTTAAAGATTATTTGTGAAAATAAAATACCTTTCCATTAAATATACTAACTTGACATATTCAGCCCATTCCTTTCCTTCCTGACAATTTCTCTTTACTCCAGCTCTATATACTAGCTTACACTGGTCAGTGATGGCCCATACCACCCCTGATCTACAAACTATGTGTTGTAATTTGTATGAAGAACACTCTATAAGTGTAGATTTATAACATGGTCTGTCCCTTGATAATCCTTTCTGTATTGCTACTTCACCATTAGACTTGATATACCTGCAAATAAAAGAAAAGTAAAAATTGTGCTTATGTCAACTGTTTCCACAAGAACAATACACTGTATGTGAGAATGAAAAATCAAGTTTGAAAAGTATTGGAGATTGTAACATACTATTAAATTAGATAAATATTTACAACTTGATGAATGTTAAAGTTACAGCTGAATTTCTTACTCTTGTTTGTGGTTGGCTAACTTTTTCATGACCATGCGAAACATTCATGTCTTTTTTGGTTCCAGTAAAATTCTCTCATGTATTTCAGAAAGTTAAAACAAAAGAAGTGGAAGAAAATATGTTCCTGTAACCAACATACCAAGCACAGTTATTGTCCACAGACACTGACTGAACCCCTCTGATTGCCTCAACCCACTTCATGCCTTCTGGATGTTTTGATGTGATTTTGGTACCAGCATAAACTGTATCCTTATATACTCTCCATACAATCATTCCTGAGGTAGAAACAGAAATCTGTTTTGCGTAACCGTTAGCTTTCACCCATTTGATGCCGGGAGATTTTATATTACTGTACCAAATATTTGAGCTTCTGTCAGTACACCATATGTGTAAATCTGACACAACAAGACTGAGCAAATTGCCAGATGTCACAACTTCTGTCCATGTATTGAATACCTTGCTTGATTTATTCATATTATCATTATCTGGATCACAAACTTTCACACTTTCAGTTTTATTGTCAAATATTTCCTCTGGTTCTTCAAGTTCACCGCCTGAAAGTGGATTTTCAGAACATTCACTAAGTCCACTACCACTTGTTGATGTTGTATTTGCTGGAGTATTGTATTGTGTATAAAAATCATCACAAGATGAACTGTTTGACCGATAAATTGAACCACTAAGCGGTGAACTTGGAGAAACATCTTTGGAAGGTACTTGTACCACTTCCTTTTTCTGCTTATCTTCAGTAACATTACTTTCTGATGACAAAGTTTCATCATGCATTGAATCATTGCCAGAATCTGTCTGAGATACATTAAATGATTCTTTTTTATCTTTTGTTGCAGCATCATTATTCCTTGGGAACTGATTTGTTTGTTCAAAACCTGAGAAAGCTAAACCTTCTTCCAAACTTGCAAGATTTTTTTCAAGTTTTGACAAAGAACTCTGCTTTTTGGGATGTTTCGTAACCTTTTCAGCAATATCTAGATTAGATTTATTGTCCTTGAAAAGACCATCTACAGTGAAGGAACTTTCTGCTTTATTTTCAATTGGTTTGGATGGCTGTGGTTTTGGTTTATTGTCTTGTTTTGTTTTTGTAATGTTATCTGTGATTAGTTTTACTTTATTGTCTTGTTTTGTTTTTGTAATATTATCTGTAATTGGTTTTGCTATGTCTTTCTCTACCACACACCCTACATTGTTATTTTTCGGTTTTTCCTCTTGTTTCATAGACATAATTTTATCCTCTTTTGGCACATATTCAGACTTTTGTAAGTTTTCCTTCACTTTAGTTTCATTAATCTGCACTTCTGCAATTTTCACAGTTGAAACTTTTTCAGAATCAGGAACAACACCATCTTTGTCATGAATATTATGTAATTCCTGTTCACGTACGCTTTTAACATCATCTTTATTCATTATGTGCCCATCAGATCCATGTTCTAATTGATTGTCTTCTGTGTAATTTCTGTTACTTTCTAAAGGCTTTAAGCCAATGATGTCAGAAATGTCCACATGTATATTTTCAGTTTCCATGGATACTTTATCATTTGAAGCACTGTCAGATGACTTTTCTTTGTCTGACATATGTTCACTGGTAGCTTCACTTTCTATTGAATTCTGGGATAGTGCGTCAGGGTCCTGATGCTTGATGTTTGTAGACAACTTGCTCTCTAGAATAAAAAAAATAAAAACAAATAAATAGGGGAGGCTATCATTTCTTATACTACAAAATAGCCATTAAAATAAATATGTAATGTCATTTTTCTCATGCTCAATGAAATATCACATTTATCATGTTTATAAAAACAAGTCAAACTGACTTGAATATAAACCTCAAATAAAAACAAATGGGGAATATGTCCATGGGACACAAATGATGCCCCCCCCCCCTTTGCATTTAATGTTATAAAGGGGCATAACTCAAGAACGCTAAAAGTGACTTTACCCAAATTCGTACTTGATCTGAGTTTTGTGGTAATAAGCATTGTGTATAAGTTTCATAACATTTGGTTGAGTCAAACATAAGTTAGAGAATGGAAATTTAATTTCAGGGGGAAAAGGACCCAAATGTGATCATGAAGTATTTGAGAAATGAATTATGAAGTTAAACTCACTATGAATCAATGAGGCTTATATAAATAGAATGCAGATGAACTATTTTTGACAGGTGTTTAGTTTTTACTCTTTATATGCGTCCTTATATCATATTGTATAATTGAAGGTCACTGTATACGATCTGATAAATGAACTCATGTATAACTTTATACATGTATGTAAATATAGCATAAAATGTAGGTCAGAGTGACCTAATTTTTGTGGAAGACTGCTATACTTGCCAAGATGCATCCTTACATCAGTCAGGGGCATTACTTAAACAAGTAACTTTTAAAATTACCTATACAAGTAATGTTGAAAACGAGGCTATTTAAAATATTACTTATATGAGTAACTTTTCTAAATATTATATTTATAGGTGTCCATTCATACAGATTTCACTACCTTTAACAAATTTTCACAGTCATCTTGTTATTTTTCCAATGTAATATAAAAACTAATCCTCCTGAAACACTTATTGCCTTTCTGATGCACTTATCTTTCATATCAATGCTTCTGGGTCAAAGATTGGTCTCTTGGGACTATTAAAATAGCATTTTCTTTGAAAATCTTGAAGGTAGACAGATATAAATAGATAAAAACTTGTGATTTAATTAAGACTTGAAGTTATTTATAATTTGTAACCCAAAACAATAACATACTTTCCTTAAATAATTGTAATTACTAACTCTTTCAAAGATGAATAAAATAACTTATTCAAGTAATATTTTTGTCATTATTTTTAAAGTAACACTTTATCTCCATACTCCTCTCAAATGTAATACATTCTTAATTTTATGTAAAAATTCATGAAAACTACATTTAGTCCATGCTTCTATTGAAATTAAAAATAACTTTATTGAGTAATTTAATAATTTTTAAAAAACAAAAATTACCTACATTGTATATAAGTAACTAAAAAAAATAAACTTGTTTAAGTCATGCCCCTGACTGTACATGCTGGAAGAGTAATATAAATTGATCTGATTTTGTCATTTTATATATACTTGTAATATTTAATTCCTGGTATCATTTTTAAGTAAATTTCATGCAACCTATAAGTGAATGACATTTATATTTATAAATATCCATTATGTTATATATTAACCAAGTAAAAGATTACCAGTTTTCTTCTTTTTCTTTTTCTTTGTTTTCACACTGACAGCAATGTCATCTGTTGGAGTATTGATAGGTATAGACCTAATTCTGTCATGTGATCCAGAATTCAGTTCAGAAGAACTATCATCCACTTTTACTTTAGAAGATACTTTAGAATCGTGTTGCCCTGCTTTGGTTTCATGACTAGATTTATGAATAACTGGCTTTGGTTCATTGCACAATGGTAGATTAGAAGTATCCAGTTCAGTGTCATCTTCAAATTCATGTGAATCATCTGTTGAAAATGGATTAAATCTATCTCGTCTTATAGGTGAAGTAATATTTTGGTCAGTAGACTCCGTAATGGGAGGAATTCCAGAGAAAATTTCAATCGTCATTAGATCAGGATTGTCAAGTTTCACAATGGGAGGTAACTCTTTCTGTTCAATATGTTTATCCACTGAGTCAGCTAAATTTGAGACAGAACTGGTGCCATCTGAAATATCTGAGATTACATCTAAATTTTTAATTTTGTCAATCACATTTTCTTTAATAAATCTAAGTGGTGATGGTGTTGTTTGAGTATTTTCTGCTTTTTCGTGTTTTATAGGAGCTTCAGACATAAAATCTGGGAGATTTTTATCCTTCACTAACCTCTGATATGTATTACCTGAAAAACATATTAAAGAAATTATTGTAAAAACAATAAAATGCTTCGCTGGGGCGCAGCTTGATACGACCGCAGAGGTCGAATCCTGAACAGTTGGGGCAAATATGGACACAACATTCAAGCTTGATACAGCTCTGAATTTGGATTGTTATTAAATATTTGACACAGCATAGGTTTCTGACACAGAAAGAATGTGGTCTAAGAACTTGAATTTTTTTAATTTACCTATTATGGTCCAATGTCCAAAATCAAAATACATGGTTAGATTCAGCACATCAAAGAACCCCATATATTCAATTTTTGTTAAAATCAAACAAAATTTAATTTTGGACCCCAACTTGGACAAACTTGAAAACTGGGCCCATAATCAAAAATCTAAACACATGTTTAGATTCAGCATATCAAAGAACCCCAAGAATTCTATTTTTGCTAAAATCAAACTAAGTTTAATTTTGGACCCTTTGGACCTTAATGTAGACCAATTTAAAAAACGGGACTTAAAATTAAAAACCTAAATACACGGTTAGATTTGGAATATCAAAGAACCCCAATAATTCAATTTTTGATGAAATCAAACAAAGTTTAATTTTGGACCCTTTTGACCTCAATATGAACCAATTTGATAGCGGGGCCCACAAATAAAAAATCTAAATTCATGGTTAGATTCAGCATATCAAAGAACCCCATATATTCAATTTTTGTTGAAATAAAAAAAAAATTAATTTTGGACCCCAACTTGAACCAACTTGAAAACTGGGCCTATAATCAATCAAAGCGCGAAAGAGCTGTAAAGGCAGTTAATTACAGGTTGTGTGTATTTTTAGTCCAGTTATATCATTATCTTGCATAGTACAGTGTACTTATCAGAGGTGGCTTTCAGTATTTAAGATTTAGAGTTCTCTAATGATATTGAACAAGTTTTATGAATGTCATATTCTGAGCACTATATGAAGGCGTTTGTTCTCACTTGTTTATGAACTTGTGCATTATATCCAGTTTGTACCTTTTTTATCTATGTTTATAGTCAAATTAGTTATCAAAGGTACCAGGATTATAATTTAATACGCCAGACTCGCGTTTCGTCTACATAAGACTCATCAGTGACGCTCAGATCAAAATAGTTATAAAGCCAAACAAGTACAAAGTTGAAGAGCATTGAGGACCCAAAATTCCAAAAAATTGTGCCAAATACGGCTAAGGTAATCTATTCCTTGGATAAGAAAATCCTTAGTTTTTCGAAAAATTCAAAGTTTTGTAACAGGAAGTTTATAAAAATGACCATACAATTGATATTCAAATACTGTTTAAAATAGTTAGGCATTTTCTTTTTAGAAATAAGTAAATGTTATCAACTGTATTTTATTCAACTCTGCAAATGTGGTTTGTTACTGGTAAGTATGGATGATAGTTGTTTCATTGGCAATCATAACACATCTCCTTATTTATATAATGATCTATATTCAACAACCTCAGGTACAAAAAAAATGTATGTAACTAAACTGTGATGGGAAACCTTTGACTTCTTTCTTTTATATAAACTTTTGATTTGGTACCATAGAACTATGTAGAATAAATGTACATTGCAACATGTCAACTCTTTCAATGACAATACTTTTTTAGAAACTATAACTCCAAGCAAAATTATATTTCCAAGTTTAAAGTAATTTATGAATGAAAAAAGGAGTTCTTAATTAAGAAATAAACTGATTCGCTGAGCGCAGCTGGATACACCGCAGAGGTCCAACCCTGAACAGTTGGGGCAAAAATGGACACAATATTCAAGCTTGATACAGGTCTGTATTTGGATTGTAATTAAATATTTTACATATTATAGTTTCTGAATAAATGTAGTCAAAGAACTTGAAATCGGTTATATGAATTGAATTTATATTCAATTAAAGATTTCTTGCTGTTGTGCAATAAACTGTGCTGTTGCGCAATACTTAATAAATCTGTTGCCAGACTATAAAGAATAAAGTTCAATTTCTTCTCAATGTCATATTTGAAATTTATGAAAATCTATAGGGAGATTACATCAATAGCTATAAATAATTCACCCAAGTTTCATGCGAACTGCTTAAAGCATTTTTGAGTTGTTGTCCAACAACAGTGCACACGCTGAAATGTCTCGCCTTCTTTACTAATCACTGATATTATGTTGATAGTCCTTAATATAAAGCTTTATTACAACTGTCACATAAACTTAACATTAACCAAGAAAACTAAACATTGACCAATGAACCATGAAAATGAGGTCAAGGTCAGATGAACCATGCCAGGCAGGCATGTACAGCTAACAATTCTTCCATACAACAAATATAGTTGACCTATTGCTTATAGTTTAAGAAAAACAGACCAAAACACAACTAGATACGCCCGCAGAGGTCCAACCCTGAACAGTTGGGGCAAAAATGGACACAATATTCAAGCTTGATTCAGGTCTGAATTTGGATTGTAATTTAATATTTGACATATTATAGGTTTCTGAATAAATGTAGTCAAAGATCTTGAAATTGGTTATATGAATTGAATATGCAATTAAAGATTTCTTGCTGTTGTGCAATACTTAGAACCTGTTGTCAGACTATAAACAAATAAAGTTCAATTAATTCTCAATGTCATATTAGAAATTTATGAAAATAAAAAGGGAGCTTACAACAATAGATATAAACAATTCACCAAAGTTTCATGAGAATTGGTGACAGCATATTTGAGTTATTGTTCGAAAACTGGAAAATCACCCCTTTTTTTAATGAATAAAACCCCATAACTCAGAAATGTAAAATGTAAAATTTATAAAATTCTAAGGGGAGCTTACATCAATACATACAAACAATTCACCAAAGTTTCATAAGAATTGCTGTAAGCATTTTAGAGTTTTTGTCCGAAAACTGGAAAATCCCCCCTTTTTTTATGAATAAAACCCTGTAACTCGGAAACGTAAAATCTAAAATTTATAAAAATCGAAAGGGAGCTCATGTCAATAGATATAAATAATTCACCACAATTTCTTGCAAGTTGGTGAAAGCATTCTTGACTTATTGTCCAAAAACTGGAAAATCCCCCTTTTTTTAATGAATAAAACCCCATAACTCGGAAACGTAAAATCTAAATTTTATAAAAAATGAAAGGGAGCTCACGTCAATAGATATAAACAATTCACCAAAGTTTTATGCAAATTGGTAAAAGCATTTTTGAGTTAATGTCCGACATGTTGACGACGGACTGACAGACGGACAACGGTATACCATAATACGTCCCGTAAACGGGCGTATAAAAACTTAACAGAGCAATGAACTGTGAAAATGAGGTCAAGGTCAAATAAAACCTGCGTGACTGACATAAAGATCATAAAATATTTCCATACACCAAATATAGTTGACCTATTGCATATAGTATTAGAAAAAAAGACCAAAACTCAAAATCTTAACTTTGACCACTGAACCATGAAAATGAGGTCACGGTCAAATGACACCTGCCAGCTAGACATGTACATCTTACAATCATTCCATACACCAAATATAGTAGACCTATTGCATACAGTATAAGAAAAACAGACCAAAACACAAAAACTTAACTATAACTACTGAACCATGAAAATGAGGTCAAGGTCAGATGACACCTGCCAGTTGGACATGTACACTTTACAGTCCTTCCATACATTGAATATACTTGACCTATTGCTTATAGTATCTGAGATATGGACTTGACCACCAAAACTTAACCTTGTTCACTGATCCATGAAATGAGGTCGAGGTCAAGTGAAAACTGTCTGACGGGCATGAGGACCTTGCAAGGTCGCACATACCAAACATAGTTATCCTACTACTTATAATAAGAGAGAATTTAACATTACAAAAAATGTTAACTTTTTTTTCAAGTAGTCACTGAACTATGAAAATGAGGTTAAGGACATTGGACATGTGGCTGACGGAAACTTCGTAACATGAGGCATCCATATACAAAGTATGAAGCATCCAGGTCTTCCACCTTCTAAAATATAAAGCTTTTAAGAAGTAAGCTAACGCTGCCGCCGCCACATCACTATCCCTATGTCGAGCTTTCTGCGACAAAAGTCGCAGGCTCGACAAAAACTGGAAAATCCCAATAAAACACCATAACTCAGAAATGTAAAATCTAAAATTTATAAAATTCTAAAGGGAGCTTACGGATTGATAATTTAGTCTTAGATGCAAGATTTTTATATCAGTTGTTAGTGGCTTTGAACTAGCTGTCAGTAACTGCAAGTACTCTCAGATCTGTACTTTCTGTCTTTTTCTTGTTTGGATGTACAACTACCCGACCACATCCACTTGTATTTGTATTTATCCATCTGATGAGTTAAGCCTCTTTCAAGTGATTTTTATAGTTCGTTCTTATATTGTACTGTTACACCACTGTCCCAGGTTAGGGGGAAGGTTGGGATCCCGCTAACATGTTTAACCCCGACACATTCTGTATGTACATGTATGTGCCTGTCCCAAGTCAGGAGCCTGTAATTCAGTGGTTGTCGTTTGTTTATGTGTTGCATATTTGTTATATTCGTTCATTTTTTGTACATAAATTAGGCCGTTAGTTTTCTTGTTTGAATTGTTTTACATTGTCATTTCGGGCCTTTTATAGCTGACTATGCGGTATGGGCTTTGCTCATTGTTGAAGGCCATACTGTGACCTATAGCTGTTAATTTCTGTGTCATTTGGTCTCTTGTGAGAGTTATCTCATTGGCAATCATTCCACATCTTCTTTTTTATATTTACATCAACAGATATAAACAATTCACCAAAGTCAAGGTGAGACAACAAAACTTAGTGGTAAGATCTCTGAAATTTTTTACACGGTACAAGTTTTTCTCATTGTTGGAGATTGTACGGTGACAGTAACACCTGTAACTGCTTAAACCCATTTCTTATGCACTTTAGTTCGATAAACTCACTGAATATCATACCACATCTCCTTATTTTTATATGCATTACAATTTACATGTGCATGTAATTATAAA